AACAACCAAAAGCTTTCTTAATGAGGCGTAATTGTAGTCCATAAATTTCTGATTAAAACGAGGCATCTCCCAGCTCTACACGACCTTTCTTTGCAAAGTTATAGAATTTACAAGAAAAGCCCTAAATGTTCATTGTCACCTCGGAGCTACAGAAGAAAAACGAAAAATGAATTTAGGGCTTTTCTTGTAAACTCTATAACTTTGCAAAGAAAGGTCGTGTAGAGCCGGGAGATGCCTCGTTTTAATCAGAAATTTATGGACTACAATTACGCCTCATTAAGAAAGCTTTTGGTTGTTCTTTAGAGTTTCTCGAAAACTGGTTTTCCTGAAGACCGGTCTTTGAAGGCCTAGCAGCAGCATTCATGGTGATATTCAGAATCAGCATTGTCGACTATCTATAGTCCACTCGGTTTCGTTGAAAAAGCGATTTATCAGTTGGGGTACTTCCCTCGTGAGTTTATCATATCAAATTCTTAAAAAATCCCTTATAATATCGTGATATTAATATGCAGATTTTAAATACAATAACAGCGATACAGAGAGAATATTGGCTAAAATGCATAACGGTTGATACTATCTACAGGTATATTATATTTTTTAGATCAACAATCACTTCTTGTACGTTTACTTCAATGTTAATCAACTAAAGGAGAAATGAAACGTAAAAAAACATTGCAGTGACGATGATATGAATGTCAATATTTTAGATAGATCACTAGGCGGTAAACGTAAATATTAGGGTTTTTAAAATTTCTATATATTCATGTCATGATACTCATAGTTTTCGAAGTTTAGAACCTTTGCGCGCTATTCAGTCACTTAAAGTGTGTCTATTATAAAATCATTAATTTACCTTTCCTTTTATTTGTAAAGAAGAGTCAATTAAATTTTTTCAATAACCATGCATAATAGACAACATGATTCATTGAGTAATGTAGACGCGTGGTATAGTATGTACGGTGGGTGATATAATACTTGAAATTACTGTTCTTCCTTTTTCTTACTAAGGTTCAAATCTGTGAGATTAATATATATCTCGACTATCTTTTTTCATCGATATTGCAAATATTTAACCATCTAAATACTAATAAATATTGATCATACCATAGAAGTAGTAGCTTTTAAACAACAAAAAGATAGATCTATACATGTAGACTATATTTTCCTTTTAACAATATAATGTATTCGTTCTATGAAAAATACGTAAACACAAAGAAAATAGACCATTGTAATTTTCTTTTTCTCATTTAAGTATTTTTCGTAAATAATAAGAGAGAAAAATTTACAAAAACTACGCGACGGCGCACGACGCAAAATAAAACCTGTTTTCTTTTTCACCCTTCGATATTGTTTGGAGTGAATATTATAGAAAAAGAAAAAAATCCATAAATGCTCTCACTAGTGTTTTTCTATATATTTACAAATCAAATACCTATTGAAGAGAGTAATACTCATGTGTACAATATAATTTGGTGACATTGCTATGTGAATAAGGAGGGGGGGGAAGCTATGAGAAACTAGAATATTGATGTAAAGTGACGAATATAATAAAGATTTTTCGTTTCTTCGTTTGTCGCTATTTTTGTCACGATTACAAATTAGGCCATTGACTTGATAACAGTTACAAAAATAAACGCATCGATCAAACAGTAAATTTTCAAAACATTCAAATTGCTGAAGAATATCATTAGCCTGAAAGGATTTGTGCAAAATACTAATGACACCTTCTCTCATTTCTACCTCGATGATTAGACTTTAAAAAAAGCAAAATGTTAACATCGGATTTTGGTGAGTATAAAAACTTCGTACAATGGATAAAAGATACAAAAGTTAAGACTGATAAAAGTACAAAAACAACTGTCAACGGTTAGGTCCAACAAAATTTTCTTATTTGCAGATCTTACTAGTTTTACGTAGGTATTTTCGATAATTATCATTATCTATAAAAAAAGAGATACGATAATTTAGTTTTTATAAAACTCTATTCTTCTACACCGAAAAAATTGAAGGAGTGAAAGTTAATAATCAAGATGGCAGCAGACATTACTTCGCTAAAATTCTTAATGTTATTCAACAATAATTATTAAAACTGTAATGATGTAAATTGTAATAATTAGTCAAATTGTGAAATGGCTCATATTATTAGTTTCAGTGCAAACTGTTGAAGCAAGACTTTTATCATTACCATCGTATTGTAGACCTTTAATTCAATGACATTTACATTGAGATTGATACGATAAAGACTTGAGTAAAGCAACTATGTTATCTATTTTTAACTCTGTATTTAGACGAGGATGACCAAACAAAATCTTATAGATCACATGCATCGGATCTTTCAGTATTAAATGATGATGAATGTAAACGAATATTAGCCGTCGTACAACGTGATTTTAAATTACGTCAAAAAGAAAATCAACGATTACTGTAGGTATCATTTAGAAAAAAAATTCTCATCAAACATTTTATATGTTCTGCTTATTGAAGTGACATACAAAAATTTGTTAAACAAGAAAATGAACGTACCGAATATTTAACGGAACCAAAATCGTTTAATCTTGAAAAATGCATTCGATGTTATAAAAATTTTAGAATATTAATTAATCCAAAAGAGGTTTGCTCAGAATGTAATTTGTTCGTATGTCACGATTGTTCAACTTATGATAAAACGAAAAAAGTATGGATATGTAATTCATGTGAAAAAGTCAAGTATGTAACCTTTTTCAAATTATATATTGTAAACTCGAAAAAGAAATGCGACTTTAGTCTTGTGTCTCAGAAAAAGTATGTTTTATGTGATTACAACGCGTATTCAAAATACTGAGTGCTCTTCAAGACATTTGAGAGATGTCCCATACCGTTTGAGTAATGTTTGATTACCGATGCCAGTCCGTATCAAGTTTATTTTGCTGATATAAAAATGATTTGTAACTTTATTTCTAGAGTTCAGCGCATGTTCTTGATGAAGATTGAAAGCACTTCAGACGATCTTTCGCTGTGTATTCATAAATTTGTTGACTTTCTTAAAGAATTAATCAGCAACTGTTCAGTCGAGCGTAATGACTTTTTGAAAAAGCTACTTCACATGTGAGACAAGAAATTTGTTATAAGAGCGGCGAAAAACAGCCTTTACGTTGTCTTAGCGGCTTTCATATGTTTCTAACGGTGGCTTCTAATCGAAGGTTTCACATGGAACGTTAAAGTGAATCGTGATTCAGTGGAGACCAACTCTAGTGTATTCCAAGCTACTTCGAAGAAAACGACGAATGCATGTCTCTTCAAAACAGATGCGTTTCTGTGGTTAGATCGGAGCCGATATCAGAGTCTTCCAGAAAGTTGCATTATTCTAGCGTGTAAGATGACATTAGTTCAGAATTGCAAGTTAAAACATCACACCTCACTTGTAACACCCTGTTTTGACTTATACACAGTAGCAAAAGACAGTCGTATTGTATTCACATTTTCAATTCAAATATAATTTTAGCAAAATCCGAAAGCAGATAAACTAACATGACAAACAGTCTACACGAAAATATCATAAAAATTATTAAAATCTCAATATTAAAGTTTGACAAGGATATGTTCTGTTCTTTGTGCTCATTTATCGTGTTCACTACATAAAACTAGCATTGTGTCAACTTTACATTTTTTTTTGCCGGATATAACATTTCCTGATTTATTATCTTTATTATTGATACTTCTCACCTACAGTAAAAGTGTGGATATATTGAACATGAATGTGCTCTATTTAGAGAACTCGACACTCAATCATTAGAATGGTTCTACAATCAAACACATCAGAAATATAAGCGTTGTGGTAGTGCAAAAGTTGTTCGAGAACTACACAAACGTGAAAAAGAATTATGTGAGTAATACTTTCTTTCTTTTAGTGTATCTATTGTATATGATACAATCTCTAAGTGGATAGGCTTAATTTTTGATGAAATACACAAATAAAATAGTCTAATGTTTGTTAAATATAATTATCATATCAAGTGCACACATCATCCAAATCTCATTGACTATATACATACTCATGTTTTGTTGTTAGACAGAGAGAGACAATGAGAGAATTTTATATCTATCTTTGTTATTTTTCGTTATAATTCAAGAATGTGAAATGTATTCATTCACTCTTTCGTGCGCAAAATTGTACAAGTTTTACTCATCATGACAATGAGAAATGAAACAATACAGGTTGTCTTTCGAAAAGCTCAAGTAGAAGAGACGTGCTATTTATTTTGCATTCTTGTATTATATTTTTATTCAACATTGTTCAATAGAAAAAAAAGAAAGGAGAGGCCCAACTATACCGGTCAATAACAACGGTCAAATTTTTTGTTCAGTATTTGTACATATTTTCTCTCTCTCTTTCTCTTTCTCACTCAATATCTATACTTGTTGTAAAGGTATTGTCATCATACACTAATAAATTGCGCATCTTTCACTTTTAAACGAAAAAACATAAAAGTTATTTGGCATGTGTATTAACGTCAATTTCAACTATTTTATTTTCAAACTTTATATACTGATATTAATCATATCAGATCTTTCAATATAATATCTACTTTTGAAATAATCATTATTTAATGCCGAGTTTAATTGAAAAACCAGAAATTCTACCTGATGATGATAATATACCACGAACATTTTTAACCGTTTTGCAAGAATTACATCAGGATGGACGATTAGCTTCATGGAAAGTTCGAGGACAGGGAGATATCTTGAGTGTTAAACTTACATGGGCTAGTACTACTGATCATAAAGATGTATCATCAACATCATCCATTACAAATGCTTATCGAATTAAAGCTACAGCTCAACAACGTGGTAAGCAATGTTTATTATTTATTTTTCTTTAAAATTTTCTAGCTGATATCGAAGATAATGGTTATGGTACTTTGTCTAATAATCCAAGTATTTCCACAGAGAATTTTAATTTTGGTATGTACTATTTATCTCTAGAGTTCTATAATGGGAATCTCAATAGACGCGTCATTTTAAGTTGTATGCACAAAATTTTGATCAAAACTTTAGTTAGTCTCTTTTACCATTGATATACACAAAGAAAAGCTCTAAAGGGCACTTGCCAATTTGAAGGTGAGAACAATTATTATCATCGATATATTACAATACTATTTACAAAGGATTGTTTCTTGGTTACATTTAAAATAGATATTTCTTTTCTTTTTTTAAATGTTAAATAAAATATATTTTTTACATTTTTTAGACCTTTCGTCAGCTAACCCAACGTTAGCTTATTTGTCACAAGATAAAAACGCTAGGAAAGAATTAAAAGAGTTCTCTGAACGAATTCGTATTTTAATTGATCGATTACAAAATGATTTAGGTGAACGAAACGTTGATACACCATCACATCCACACAAAAAAAAAAGTAAATATCACATTAAAATCGTAAAAAATACAGAAAAATATTTTTCATTAGAGAGAAAAAGAATCTAAGGTCTCCCAATTATATTATAGTTATAGCATTAATACGAAAACGTGGAGGTGAGACGTGCTCTGCTTATAGTATTTAATAATACTTTTCAAGCATGGTACTGGTTATACGAATAGTCTGCACACTAAACCTATAGAATTTGCAATGATATTGTTCATATTTGTCGAGACATACACTCAGAAATAGTACGCTTTTTTTTTTTTATAATGCTTATGGGTTGGTGTTTGTCTTTTATTATCTGTATAGTGTTTTCTCTATAATTTTTACATTTGTTCATATATTTGTCATCATTTAAAGGTAAAGAAGCTCTCAAAGAACATCAACAGCAAATAGCAGCCGAAATTGGTCGAGCAAGAGTACTTCTAAGTGGAACACTTCGTCGTAAGTAACATAACATTACTAATTTTATAAATTTTGAATTGATCAATATTCTAATTATTATTTTAATATTATGTAGACAAAAAATAATAGTTCTCTATCTACTCTAACACTAAACTGTTGTATATTTAATAGTAGTGTCTTCTACTTCAAATATAATAGTCATTTGTGTCATTATTGTACACATTATATTATTCAATTTATAACATCATTAAAAATGAACTTTTTTTTGTTATTTTTCTTATTCTTTGTCTCGTTAAAAGACTTTTGTTAAACATGCGTAAAAGAAAGAAAAGCAAATAGAGCTGACATATTTTACATTAGGTAATAAATAAAAGAAATATGACCTGTGTCCACTTTTCTTTGAGAATATTTGCTTTCATCTGCCATGAAAATTTGGATAAATCAAAATAAAATAACAGCGAATCTTTTTTGAAGCAAAAAAAATGTCAAATAATATTCACTAATTGTGATGACTGTTTCCCCTTATTAATATGAATCAATTTTAACTATAATAATTAATAGTCAGATTTGAAGAAGATGATTTTGAACAATATTCAAACAAGGAGAAAGATATACGATTAAACTGTGACTATATACAAATCATTTTGTTGAGAATATTTTAACTTTTTAAAAGATTAAAATTCTATATCTATACAATCTTAAGATATATTATAACTCTCTGTTGTTAAGACAATGAATTTTTGTCTTCTTATGTTGCCTCTTCATACCTGTAGTATCATGTGTGAGTGAGTCTGTCGTTTTCTCTTTTTTTTTCCAAATAATCATACATATGTATATATAACTTTTATTGCTAACATTGAAAATTGACACACTGTTTATGAAGTTTTTTATTTCGAGTTCATTCTCTTTTTTTCCTTTCTAATGACAACGAAACACTACACGTGATCAAACAAGAATACTTTTAAAAATAAATATCTCCATTTTCTTGATTTTTAATTCAATGCAGGTGATCTTCTCTCTGTATGTGTGATGGATATGTGTAATCGTCTCACCAGAGTTTGACAGAAATGTAGAAAGAACAAAGAAAAAATTATTTTTAAAAAAGAAAAGCTAGAAAAAGAAAAAAAATATCTTTTTTTTTTTTGTTTTGTTGGTAGCCTTATAATAAGATACTACTAAATGAATAAAATAATTTCAAACATTTTTCAACATCTACATTATGGAACAATACGTAATATTTTTTGTTTATTTTTATATTCGTTTACTTTTTTAAAAATTTGGTGAAAAATATGAATGAAACAGTAAAAATTATGGAGAATTTTCGTTAAATCGAAAAAATTTTTATGACAAGCAATTATTATTATTTGTAGAGATGGATGATGAAAAAAAATAGGAGAAAAAAAAAGAAGATGTTTGTAAAATGTTAAATATTAATTTATTACAAGTTAATACTAGTAGTCATCAAAATATGTTTGTTCGTATTGCATTTATTGTTGTTATTTATATTATTTTATTACAATTACTCTACTCATTGCAATCCATTTTTATATCAGTCCCATTTATAGCTGTTTATACAACAGTCTACGTGTTATTTATTAAAAGACGAAAATTATTATCGGATAGAATGAGATTTTTGAGTGATAATAGTCAGCAAAATGAGACAACAATGTTCTTATTTAATACACAAATAAATAATAATAATCATTTAATTACAGGAGCAAATATCAAAAATGATACGTATGAACAAGATTTACAAGATTTAATTATTAAACAAACTGAACAAGTATTACAAACAGATTTATCACAATTTCAAAAAGTGAGTGATCAATATTCAAATAAGATTCAAATGAAATTTTAAAGTTATCCATTTTAGAATCTAACAACATCGAAATCATCTGCCTCCCATTTTGATCAAAAACTTGCTCAAGCCGTTTTCGATAAGGTAAACTTGTATTTTACTTATTTGTAAAATATGAACAAAAAAAAACAAAAAATCAACAATTTATTTCTATTTAGTGTGTTAGTAAAGAAATTTTTCAAGAACTTCCATCTGTACTTGACTCAGTAAGTATCATGTTTATTTATTTAGATGTTAACACATTTTTATCTTGTATTTTATTGTGTTAAGAGTGTTCCACCTAAACCTCAACGTCAAGCAGGTCAACCGCCACAGCCAACATGGAGTGAAAGATCACCGCGTGAATCTGATTGGGAGGTAGCAATCAACTGATTCATCTAGTTGAGTATTATTATAAAGCAATTGAAATATTTGTAGATAAAATCTCGAAAAGATTCTATACGAAAAGTTAGTGTTGCTGGTTCTACTTCTAGCGAGAATAAAAATGGTAAGCGGAAACAAATTCATACATTGATATTATAGAGACTTATTTATTGCTTTTTTTTCTCTTGAAAAATAAAAAGGATCAAGATACAATACCCAGAACGCTCCTGAAATAAGATTTGATTCTGGTTTAGAACTTGATTTAGCAGCAATTAACCGAACATCGGTTGATTCTGATTTGGAAGCTATTGCTGATAATGAATCTGTTTCAAATACCGGCGATTGGGAAAAAAATTGGCAATTAACAGATAAAGTATGCGTATTGAGACTATTTCTTTTATTATTTTATAGTTAAACAAACTCTTTATGAATATTTTTATTAGAATCATAGTGGAGAAGAAACCCCACGGTCTCGAACCGGAAGTGACATAGTTTTATTGACCATTCCTGAAGCTAGAGAAGAAGTTTCACCAAGAGTAGGAGACAGGTATGATGGTTATTCAGCTTATGTAATACTATTCAATAAATTATTACTTTTTTTTTATTAGAGCACTAGAAGATCTTGCCGATGATGATTTGTATGCTGATGATCAATCAAATATCCCAACTATGTCACCCACTCAGACACAAGATATATCGACTACTGATGATTCTCGTAAAACGTTTCCATTACCAGCTAATCTCATTCTATCATCAAAACGTTCTTCGTCAAATTCTTATCGTCAACCATCTTATGCCTATGAATCGGATGATACTGAAAGTGTTATGTCAGAAGTATTATCATCACCAACATTAGCTGATATGAAATCATATATTGATGAAGAAAAGTTTAGATCTGATCCTCAAATCCAAGATCCAAAATTTATTCAAAGACCCAAAGATTTAATTGTTAGATGCGGTGAAGCAGCTCGATTCAAATGTAAAATAATAGGAACAGAACCTATAGGTAATTACTTCATAACATCAATTATTTAGTCATTTATTAAATAAAATAATCTGTTAAATTTTAGATGTATTTTGGTTTCGTTTTGGTGTGGATGATGATTTATTGAACGATGAAAAATATCAGATAACGCATGATGAAAATTATCATTATTTAAAAATTTATAATACAACGAAAGAAGATGAAGGAAATTATCTATGTGTACTAGCTAACGATAAAGCTCAAAATGTTGATATTATAAAATTATCTGTTAGAGGTAAAATATGTCAGTTCAGTGAAATACTTAAAAGAAAAAATCTACACTATTCAACTATTTGTTTTAGATAATAAACGTGCATTTCGTTCACCAAAAATGATTCAAGATTTTAAAGACATTGATGTCAATGAGGGTGGTGCATTTACTCTTAAATGTAAAATTGATCAGGGTTATCCAAAAGCTCGAGTTTTATGGTATAAAGAAAATACACTCATTCGTCCAGATGGTCACTATAAATTATGTATGATAAATAGTAGCTTTTTTTTAAGTTTTATACGTATACAAATCCTATTTTACATATATATTTATTTTTAGATTATTACGGTGATGGTGTTCATACGTTACACGTTGATGAATCAACGGCTGATGAAGATAATACAACGTTTACATGTCTTGTTTCCAATGCAGCCGGAAAAGTACATATAACTGCCGATGTATTTGTTCATGAGCCAGGTAAAAACGAAAAATATTTTGATGTCCTCAGTGTCTTCTTTGTTTCATCTCTTTCTTATCATTACTTAATATTTACCTAATAGACAAACAACGTTTTTTTCTCTCGTTCTAAAAGAAGTCATTGATCCACCACGAGAGGCACTAGTCAAGCCTCTACCACTTACAGCAACAAAACAAAATGAAACTGAAAGTATGTCTAATAATGACGACAAACGACAGACAAATTGGTCCGTTTCTATGTTAACAACATCACCCAAAATAAAATCGTCCTCACCATCGTCTCAATTCAATCATTCATTACAACTATCGCCCGAACATTCCTCTCGTTCATCAACGCCACCACTCGACGAATCAAAACGCTATAAGTCAGCATTTAATCTCGATCGATCGACAAAACTATTGGAGAGTAAGTTGAATACGATTAAGTTATAATGGTTAGTTAATGTATTCCGTTATTAGACTGGAAAAATCTTTATGAAGCAAGTGTTAATTCATTACAATCCGATGATCCATTACCAGTTCATTCTAAACCAAAACTACTTGATGTTTTAGACGATGAACACTCGAGATGTAAGTTCGTATTATGAGTATTTTAATTGGGAAAAAATAATAATCATAAAAAACCTAATTTTAGATGAGTATCCCCGATCACCAACACTTAATCCTATCAGTAATCCTCATCAGAAATCAAAATGGGAGGTACGGTTGCCAGAGCTTCTCAATGTTACCGTTGGACCAGATAGACCGGTAAGCTATCTTTTAGAATTTTATTCATATCTGTTACAATATTGTCTTTTTTTAGAAACGAAATCCATTGAGACGTCACACCACAGAAATTGTATATAAACAACCCCAAGACGAATATATTCGAAAACAAGTCATATCAGATGAACAAAAAGTAATGATTTTTTTTCTCTATTCTTTATTTGTACATCATTATTAAGACTTATAGATTCAACAACAAAATCAAAGTCAATCTTTATCTCAGTCATTCCCACCCGATAATGATCAACCATCAAGTCCATTAGTGAAACAACTGAAACAAAAATTTGATAAAATGGGACCATCCAAAGTTCTTCGAGTACGCAATTCGCCGCTGCTACCGGTTTGTTGCTTTTGCTCTGATTTTGTAAAAAATAGTCAAAATCATTTCGCTTCCACAATTAGATCTCTCCTCTATATAGTATTAGTATTAGCTAAAATTGTAGGATTCTGATAATGATGAGAATGATGACGACGAGGTAATAATTATCTTCATTTATTTTTTTGACATATACCAATACCAATCGTGCACCGTTTAGTAGTAGCTTGTTGATTTGTGGTGTAATAGTATCAGCATGTTTATTTACATGGCATAGATGTTATTTTCTTTTTGAACACCTAACATAAGTGCACGCATGGTGCCTCGAAGCTAAGATAAACGCATAAACATGTTGAATGCATAATTATATGCTCAAGCTTTTTTATGCTTATGTAAGATAATAGTGTACGCACTGCTATTATTTATTGTTTCATGTTATAACTCTGCATATTCTTACCCATTTTTTTATAGATAGCTAGTCTAACATGTCGCGGTCTAGCAGCAAATGAGAGGCCATACAAGCGTCCTCAGCTACCTGTTCGTCCTACTCGTAAGTGTGTTCTATGTATGCACCAGTTTAACTAATACACAGTCTATTTCTTGAATTTCTTTTTGTAGCCGATGTCACACCTCCATTAACTTCACGTCAATCACCATTAGAAAAAGGTAATAAAAAAACCTCACCACCCAACAGTTATCACAATCGCTATCCACCACAATCAACAAAGTCGGTTGTCAAACAATTACTAAAACAGGATGGATATGGTGCTGCTACTGTTGTTTATGATAGTACTAACCCTAAAACTAACGTTCTTAATGCTAATACTGACCATCGCTCAACACCAATGACTTCTAATTTAAGCATTACTAATAAAATGACATCGTCAACAAATACACGTCAGAATAATGAAATATCAGGTGGTAGCCAATTGCTACAACAAACACTCAAACTAAAACCAAAAGAAGATAGTGTAAGTTGTGAGATAATGCACTGTACATAATGCTTTTGCTTTTACTTCATAGCGTATGCTTTAACAACAACAAGAATAAGTTTAACAGTTAGATACTTTAAGATATATAGATTATACTGAAAATCAATCTGGAGAATTTATTTTCTATTTAGAAGACGCTTCATCTACCATATAACCCTATTAAAGAATCAGGGGACAATTGTAAGCGCTAATCGTGTGTGTGTTTGTGTGTGTGTAAAACAGCACATACTGTACGCATACATCATCAATGTGTGATAAAATTATTTGTTTGCCACCCTAGGCACAATTTTGAATTTTGTTATTAGTCCACTCTTTCTTTTACTTCTTTATTGAATGCACGCACTCTCAAAAATTAGATCACCTTTTCGATCACTGCTGATATTTGAACATCACAGCCAGTAGACTGAAGTATTCAAACTTTGCTAAAAACTTTTTGCATGATTAATGCGTCAACAGTGCATCAAAAATGTTGTCAAAAAGTTCTGAAATTTACACTGTGAAAAAACAAGTGCTCCTCGGGTGATGAATGGGACGCTTAAAATAGCCCACAGTAGGGCACTTTTCTTAATGGGGCACATTTCTAGTCTTGAAAGTACCTGGAGGAGGGCGGTTAAAGTGTCCCATTCATTGTCCATCAAAATGCCTTTTTTAGCTGGTGGGGCACTTGTTTTTTGAGAGTGCATCGTCCTTGTGAATGTGACCGGTTATAAGTTGAGATCGTACTACGTCTCTCCTCGATCTAGATTAGTGTCAAAAGTTTTCGGAAAAATTTAGCTTGTGCAACTTGAAGAGCTGAACATTTTTTATATTGAGATAAACCTTATTAATTCCATTGCACAGATGTAGAGAAGAATTTTGATAGTCTATTCATAACAAACTACATGTAAGAGAGGATGTTGACAACTTTCGTTGGAAAAAGTTTTCTGATTATTTTACACCTTGCTACTAAGTGCAAATTCGTTTTTAAAAAAACGAAAGAAAATTTCAAAACATGTTGAAAAATATATTATCTTATACATGGGGAAATTTCAGTATATAAAACGACGTGCACTCCTGTAAATATCGTGAAATGAACTCTGGTTATACATGAACATCGTAAAATGGTATGCGGGCATGCGTAAAAAATACATTCCTCTTGTGACAACGTGTGAACTACTCGCGGAAACTTTTCGCGTCATATTTATCGCACGTGGTCACTAGTGAAAACCGTAAAACGCTGTGTGGATACACGTGAAAAAAACATGCGTGTGAAATTATACAAAGTTCACACGTGACCACGCATTTGATGTTGTAACTGCACGATCCCAACGTCGTGTAACTTCGATAAAATTTCCCTATGAATAGTTCGATCGAATTTTTCGCAATAACCGCACGTCTAGTAGACATAAAAACTTTATTATATTGGATTATCGAAATTTGTCTTCATGATTTTGAAATAAATTTCGATTTTCAGACAGTGTTGTATTTTCTCAACAAAAAATTTTAAAACTTCGTTAGTCTTGTATATCTTTGTAGCGCATGCTGTAATGAAATGAGCGATATCAAGAACGATAGATGTGAGAACTTTTTGATGCACTGATGACGCAGTGATCATATAGTAAAATTTCAATGAAGTCTCATCACTTCAACGTTCGACTATCCGTCATTCTTACATACAAACGGCATACCGATTTAAATATGTCATACAACAATCGGAACACGACAGAATGCGTTCAGAGCGATAACGGCGTTTGACTTTAATGCATAAAAATTCAATCTTCAAAAAAACGTATTAAACGAAATAATGTTGAAACATCTATAACATTTTGAGAGTTTATGGGCAAGGTTAAGAATAAAAATTTAAGAATAATTGCGGCTATCATGTTAAGAATTTTAATAGTAGTTTTAATAAAAAAATTTTAAAACTAAAACCAACGATTAAAATTACAATTCGATATTTCGACCTATTGACACGGTCATTTTCAAGTTGCTCTTCATACAGAATGTTACATAAAAATGAAAAAACAGTATAACTGACATATGGTCGAAATATCGAATTGTAATTTTAATCGTTTGTTTTCATTTTAAAATTTTTATTTTTATTAAAACTTCTATTAAAATTCTTAACATGATAGTCCTAATTATTCTTAAATTCTTATGTTGAAACATATTCTTACAAAGACTGCGTGAAAAATTCACTAATTGATACTTTACTGTACTACCACCACATCTTTGTGTTGTTATGCTATATCTATCGAAAGTTTATTTTTATTTTTAGAGCAGCGAAACAGAAACAATAACTAATTCCGATGACCAAACACTTCTAGCACATTATACTCAGGATAGTAAACCATCATCAACGACAATCAAATCGAAATCGACTATAACGAATAACAGTAATGAAAGACAGACGAATAACAATTTAACTGATTCTTTAACGAGTTCGAGTTCAATGTCAGATATAAGACAAAATTTAATAAATCCACCAACAAAACCAAAACGTTTATACGCTTCTTCAAACGAATTAACGACAGCAAACGATAAATTAACGAAAATATCATCGAATAGTACTACAAGCACAGATAATGAAACGATAAGATCATCGAGTATAAAAGATATTCGTAGTTCGGTACTAGCTCGTGCAAAATTGTGGGATAGACGAATTAGTGTTGAAAATGGTGAAGAACAAGATGTGATAACAAACGATTGGAGTAAAGAATTTGAAAAAACGCAAGAAGATGATACACAATTTCGTATTTAAATTTGTATTTCTTTTCCCTCAATATCTTTCATTGTCAATTTTTAGTGTGTACGCTGCTTTAATTACATCTAAAATCATTTGTTTTTTTGTTGTTCAATCGATAGTATATATTTCATAAATTAAATTGTTATTTTAAAAGAAAGCGTTCTTGTCGTTGTGAAATTTTATTTGTCAATTGATATTTTTTTCGTTTTCTTTTTCTATTTTTCATTGATACAAAATATAATGGTTCAATTTACGTCTAGAATTCAACGATACTAGTCCTGATACATCTTTTTCCTTTTCTTTTTCTAAGAATAGAAAAATATTCCAAAACTAAATAGAAAATTAGTAGTAATTTAAACTTTCTATCTCAGATATTGGTTTTCAAGTTTCCTTTATTAAAAAACTAAAAATGCAGACAGAAATCTTGTACAAATGGTTCTAAGAAGAAGAATTTATTTGATAAATTCTAATGTCAAAATGAAGCAGGTGAAGTTATTCTATAAAATTAATTTTTTGTAGACGGAATAAAGATTGAGCAAGAAAATTGTATGGTAGTAGTGGTTCATTTGTGTTTTGTTTACAGAATTTTTCTGAAGGACATTCGACAACAACACGAAGTTTTTCTTTCTGTATATCAAGAATAATGAGTATTAGAAGAGTTAATAGAGAAATATGTATGCAATAGAAGAGAAAGAGATTTCTATATGTATGCATATGGGAAAACACAAAAAGAAACTTCATTATTATTCGTATTTGTTGTTGACAATATCGTTACTAAACGAAGGTTTATCACACAGAGGAAAATATATATATATATATATATATATATACATGTTGCTGATTATAAACATTTCTTTTTTTCTTCTTGATTCATTCTACACAAAGAGAACAATTCTTGTTGAAGAGTCTTTATTTTGATAAAAACCTATGATCATTATTATAGTTATCATTTATATCACGCATACATAAACAATATTTTTAGCTTGTTATGGAAAATAACAACTTCACGGATGTAACATTATATTATCATAGAGAGAACTGTACAAATCTTCTTCAAAAATAAATGTTATTCTGTGGTTAAATAGAAATAAAAAAATAAAAGAGAAAAGACAATGTACCAGGAAATGCTGGATATTCTACAGTTGAGTAGGATGTAACCATACATGATACATTTATATATAGAGAGATAGAGAAAAAATAACCAAAATAACATTTATCACCAGACGAATAAAAAAAGAAGCTCTGTGATAAACGACAAATTCTGATCTGTTTCTTTCTTCTACACACCACAGAGAGAAACAACCTTTTTTTTGTGTTTTACATATTTCAAGAAAAACATCACAAAAAGGCAAGTCTTTCATGCGATTTATCTTACAATTAAAAACCAAATACGCTTGTTCAAATGCATATCATAAACTCTTGTCATTGCTTCTAAGCATTTATAATTAAACATCAATGTTTTATTAAGCTTAGAGACAATTAAATAAAACATTTCTATGAAATCAGTTATTTTATGTAGTGTTTGTGAATGTGTTTTCTGGCCAGTTTTAAAGCGAAACTAAAGACGAGCCAAAAAATAATAGCTACTGAGCATTGCATAATTCAATCGAATCTGTGCTCTTACTGTATTCTGGACGGCACATCAATGGCTCTAGGATTACTTAAAGTTCTAGAGTAGGGAAACAAGACTTCAGTGTCACAGAATAAAACAAAACAAATCTCTAATCGAGTGGTCTCGAGTAAGGGTAAAAGGAATGATTACTAAGGAATGACCACAACTATATCTAAAGCAATGTATAATAGTCTAGATAACATATATTATATAAATTCTCTTTGATCTCTGGCGAAAATAGTCATGCACTTTTAAGTATAGATAATAAAACGTTTAAATGAAGCAAGCACTTTTCCTCACTTTTATTAATGTTATTAATGCTACTTTATTCTTGGAGATTTCATTGAAATATAGTTGATATTTTTCTTCTTCAATGAGATTTTATTGTTCGTAGTTGTCTTCTATAGACGACCGTTTCTCAAATAGCAAAGGTATACTCGATCAACTTATGTTCTGAGAACGAAAATAATCTCGCTAATTTATTTCAATCAAAGTCGAAGAAATAAATTATAAAAATCACAGATTCATCGACTTCTCTCCATTCTTGTTCCCAAGAAAAGTCTATCATTTCCATATTTAAAATGAAATTTTATTTACTTTAGGTTAGCTAGTGAAAAATGACCGAAGCAATATTAGCAGTAAGAATTCGTCTACTTTTATTTTCAATTGAATTAGATTATGTTTTTGGTTTTTTTCTATATCTAGAGTCGTTTACGTGATGTTGAAGAAGAGGTTAAAACGGAACGTGATGTTCGTCTTCGTCAAGAAAAAGAATTGACAAATTTAAGAATTGATTTTGATGAAATAGAATCACAATTAGATGAAGCGAATACATTACGTGATCGTGAATTAGAGGCAAATAAACGTTTAAAACAAGAAATACATGATCTTCGTCAAAAATTAGACTTACAATCAACTGAAAATGATGAAAATCAAAATGGTATTCGACGACGATTTCAAGATACGGTCTCTGATCTCACTAGTCAAGTTGAAGCACTTAGTAAAGGAAAAGCAAGGTAATATATATATTTTTGAAAATTCATAAGTATAAATGAAGAAGAATTTCATTCATTTTAGACATGAAAAAGAAAGTAGACAATATATTATAGAGGTAGAAGAACTCAAAAATGAAGTTGAATCATTGGCTAAAGGAAAAGTGAGTTTTCTCTAGACATACAATAAATGATGCTAATCATCATTTTATTTCAGAATCAAGCTGTAGCAATGAGCAAAGAATTAGAATCAAAAACAATTGAAATGAGTCAAAAAATTGATGATGCTATTCGACAATTAACTGATGCTAATTCAGCTAAAAATCGTTTAGTTGAAGAAAATTTAACATTGAGTAGACGTCTGGAAACAATTGAATTTGAACTAAATCAAACAACAACTTCATATAAACGAGCACAAGGAGATTTAGATGAAGTTCGACTTCATCTTGAATCAGAAATGGCCGTAAGTTTTCTTTATTTTTGTTATTCTCTCTAAAAAGAAAAAGAAATAAGTTGTTCAATTTCATCTAACTAGACCAACAGAACATTACAATCAACGGTAAAAACATTTCAAATGGATTTAGAATCAACAAAATTACAATTGGATGATGAAATTGATGCTAAAGTTGAATTACAAAAACTTTTAATTAAAATTCAAGAAGAATCGCGAATAATGCGTGATCGATTAGAAAAAGATATCGAATCAAAAAATGAAGAAATAGAAGAACAAAGGTATATCTGTTGTACTAATAAATATTGATATCTAATCAATTTATTTTCTTTTATTTAGACGAAAATTCAACAGTCGTATCAATGAAATACAAGAACAATTAACTGAAGTATTGGCGAAAGCAAGCAATTTAGAAAAACTAAAACAACGATTACAAGCTGATAATGACAAATTAGCAGGAGAAGTTGATAAGGTAATTTCCTAATGATTGATAAAAACTTATTTAATAATTACAACAGAAGAACATAACAATAATAAGTTTATCCAATGTTTTAGTATCGTAAAAGAGCTGATGAAGCTGTACGAAAAAATAAACAATTAGAAAAGGAGGTAGAAGAATATCGAACAAGATTAAGTCATATAAGCGCTGAATTAGAATCAGCATTACAAGCAAATCGTAATTATCAAAGTGAATTGGTCAAAGTTAAATCATTGAATGATCAATTAACAGAACAAAGTAAGTAGTACAACACTTATCATCTGTACATATTTCATAAATAATTCTTTTTTTAACTTTATAGTTGATATTATTACACGTGATAAACGTCGATTACAAGGTAAGATTATTAATACTTATCAACATGAAATTAAAGTTTATACTATTTTGTGAAACTTTTTAGACGAAATGGATGTGGTTCTAAATCAAATAAGTGATTTAAATACAAGAATCGTAGATATGGATCGTAATCGTAAACAATTGGAAGCGGATAAATTGAGTTTATTAACAACTATTGACGAATATCGTGAACAATTACATTTGGAAATAACAAAATCGACTACATTATCAGCTCAATTGGAAAAAATACGTGGTGAATATGAGAAAAAATTAGCCGATAAAGATGAAGAATTGGAGACAATGCGAACGGCCCATCGTCGACAATTAGAACAATTGCAATCTCAAATGGAAGAACTTGAATTACGTTATAAAACAGAAATAAATCGTATTAAATCAAAATATCAAGCAGAAATTGATGAAATACGTATGCGTTATGAATCACTGAAAAAAATTAGAGCCGATTTAGAAAATCATCTCAAAAAATTACAAGCAGCCATTAAGGTAAATAGATTTAAATTAATAATCGATAATATTCTTAATATGTCTGTTATTTATAGGATGCCCAAGATCGTCTCATTGAAGAGCAAACATTACACGAGGCAACACGAGAATTGTTGAATGGTTCAGAAAAACGAAATGCTATATTTCGAACTGAAATAGAAGAAATTCGAATTCTCCTTGATCGAGTACGTAAGTGAAAAGAAATGTAAAAACAAAGTAGTTTAAAATTCAACGTATCATATTTAGAGTGAAAAAGCTCGTAAAACAACTGAATTAGAATTGCATGATTCAGAACAACGTTTAACTGAAGCACAATCATTGGCTAATCGTGCCATTGCTGAGAGAAAGAAATATGAGGCTGATGCTATGCAATTACAAGGAGAAATTAATGATGTAAGACAAGAAATAAAAATTATAGATGAAAGAGTAAGTTAAGCAATCTATTTTTTTTAATTTAAAAAAAAAAAGATCTCGTTTTATCTCTAGGCAAGAAAATTAACAGGAGAATTAATAAGACGTGATGAAGACATTCGTCATGAACAAGAGAAAACAGCTGAAAGTGAAGCATCTAAACGTGCATTAGATCAACAATTACGAGATGCAAGTGCAAAAATTGATGAAGCAGAAGCATACGCTCGAGCAGAAGCAAAGAGAATAGCAGCAAAATATGAAGGACGAGTAAGAGAAATGAGTACATACAATTATTCTAATAGTCTGCAAGATTATTGATTTGATTTTCAGCTAGGACAATTAGAAACCGAATTAGAATTAGAACGTGCTCGTTATCAAGAATTACTTAAAGATTTACGTCGCAATGAAAAACGTGTTAAAGAATTATTAAATCAAGTTGATGAAGAACAGACAAAAGTTCTTTCATTAACAGATTCAGTAAGCAAAGTCAATGAGAAAATGAGAATATATAAATCTCAAATTGAATCAGCTGTAAGTAATTATTATTCTTTCTATTTATATGTATTTTTGATAATATTCTATGTTTTACAGGAATCATCGGCTGCTCAAGTTCTAACAAGAGCAAGACGTCTTGAACGAGAATTAGAAGATGCTGAAGAACGAGCTGAAATGGTGACAACAACACTGATTCGTTCAAGAAGTGTACACAGATCAGAGTACAATTAAATAATGAAAACTTCAAAACCACAATGTCACACTGTTAAACCATTAGAATAATCGTTTCTTTTTTTTTCATCTTTGAATCTATACCGTTTTGTTTTCGTTTCAAGTTTTTCTAACGAGAATCACAAAATTTAGATTCTCATTCAATTTTGATACATCAAAAACTTTATTCGCATTCTATAGAATGACAAACTAGTACATTATTTTATTCTCCAAACAAACATGATACTTTTTATGTACTAGAGTAGTCATAAGTGAACATTTTATATTCATTATCACCCCCAATCGCTATTTATTTTAAACTTTCATTATGTCTCCTCTACTTTATTTTTGCCAATATAAATTAAGTTCTAATTGAGAATTTTATTGTGCTGGAATTAAACTGTGGATAATATGTTTGTTATCAGACGTGAAATTTTCTTCAATTTCATTTGCTTTTACACCGTATATCAGGCGGATAATTTGAAAAGCACTTACAAAGAAACATATTTGAGTGTTCCCCCTGGGAATCAGTTAAAAAATATGCTGTCTTGGACAGAATTTTGCACTAATCACGAATATCAATATCTTAGCTACCCTCGTTACAATCTGAAAAAATCAAAATTTTATGTTTGTTCGCTTCAGGTACTCTCTACTACTAGGTGTTACTTACAAGTCAGGAAAAAATAGAAAAGATTCGAAATAAGTATACGCTACCAGAGCGCCGTATGGACTCGAGATTCTGAGTCCAGTTCAGTTAGAGTTCATGAAAACAGTTTTTTCAGTCCATGGACTCTAAAATAGTAGTCCATCCTAGTCCACAGTACAAAAGCATGTTTTTTTACTGATTATTCCTCACTTCAAATGAATCCAAAACTTTTTTTCGAGTCCAGACTAATCCACGATCTTGAATGTTTAAGTTCAGTTCAATCCATACGGAGTTCTGTTGGATACCTATTATCGGTTTCATACTACTGTTTAGAACAGAAAGATCATTCTTTCATATCGAATCTTCATTTTTTTCTCATTTCAACAAAAAAGATCGATCTCACAAAAGTGATCTATAGCAGCAGAGAGTACCTGAAGCGAACAAACGTAAAATTTTGATTTTTTCAGATTATAATGAGGACAGTTAAGATATTGATATTCGTGATCAGCGTAAAATTTTCTATCCGACAGCATATTTTTTAATTCGCTCCCAGGAGGGACACTCAAATATGTTCCCCCGTTAGACTATAATGATCGTTCCCTATGCACAGTTTTGATGATGAGTCCTAGCGTCTGTGTTTATTTTGGCCAAATTTCCTGTAAGCTACTATCCATCCCAAAATACCGTGTAGTTTATTTTTTGAATAACTAAAAAACAATAAAAGATAAAGACATGCGGCTTTCACCAATCGAAAGACGGCAGTTTAAGCTATGTCTTCACAAGAAAAAACTTCTTTTTTGAAACCGTTTGTTTTTCAAAAAAAAGTTTCGAAAACCTAGTGAAAACGTACGTTAGATGAGATATCCATTTTTGCCTATTTTGAGTAAAGTCGAAAAATTCATAATCCAGTCAAGATCCACTCAAATTATGTTAGAATATCAAGATGTACTCTATTTTACCTTCAATCTTTTACCTGAAAATAGTTAAAAACATTCTTGTACTTCAGAAGATTTCCAGAAAACCTTTTCAAAATCAAAGTATTTTCTGTTGACTTTTAAAGCTTTTGTTGAACTGCATAGTACTGAGCAGGTAAAATAGAGTACATCTTGATATTCTAACATAATTTGATTGGATCTTGACTGGATTAAGAATTTTTTGACTTTACTCAAAATAGGCAAAAATAGATATTTCACCTAATGTATGTTTTCACTAGGTTTTCGAAACGTTTTTGAAAAACAAATATTGCCACACAATCCAGCATAGTCGATAATCTATGTTTTCATGCATTTCTGACAGTCTAAACCTAACGACAGAGAAGTCCTAAGGCTTCGGAAAAAAGGTCCTTAGTACCCGAACCAAGCAAAACCAAATTTCGCTTAGATCTTATTTTGTAGAGGACACTTCAGATCCTCTAGAAAAATCTATCTATCTACGAAAAAAAAGCGATAGATTACTATGACGGTTTCTAGAAATCCGAGCTGGTTTTTCAAAGATCTTGTGAAAAACCGACCTTCCGAATGTTTTCAAAAGACGATTTTGCTTGGTAAAACATAGCTTAAACTGTCGTCTTTCTGTTGGAGAAAACCGCATATCTCTATCTTTTATTGTTTTTGAGTTATTCAAAAAATGGAAGCCTACACGGTATTTTGGGATGGATATTAGTTGCACAGCGTGATTAAGTGATTTGCAAATAGTTTATTTACTTTTGATGGTTATGTTACTCAAACAATACCTACCTAGATAATAGCGTCGAGACTTGAACTTATATTTTTCAAGTACGCTGTAAAAATTTTGTAGTCAAGATTTGATTGAGAAACAAGAAAATATTTAACATATATATATATATATATCACTTTCCCGGTGTAGTCAAGAAGCTGATCTAAATGTTTAAACAAAAGTCACAATTCATTTATAAATAGTTTATGAGCAATTTTGCTGTCTAATATAAATTAGTTTTTTATGAAAATACCATAGAACCATGAGAGTCGGATATCAATTGCAAGAAGTAAACGCAAATAATTTCTCCATAACTTTAAACTAAAACTGATCATATGTCGTTTAAATTAAGATTAAGATTGAAAAAGATGATGATTGCCCTATTAATGAAAAATCTTGAATTAAAGAATAATGGAGTAAAAAAATTCGAAAAGATAATGAATAAGTAGAAAAGATTGAGATGTGTCATATGGACGTTGATACTCTAACAGCAATCTAGTGTGATGTTCCATTTATAAATGTTTATCATGTGACAAGAAGTGCAAAATATGAGGTCTAAGAAACCAAAAATGAATATTTGTCTTGATGTACATTTTAAGACTGTAGACGTGTATGATATTTTCGAAAATTTTAAACAAAACAAATGGGTAGAACTTGGATACCAAAACGTAATTTTACAACTCTAATTGAAGAAAATGGTATAAAGTAGTACAGTACAGATTGACAAAATTTTGAACTAATAGTTAAGGAATTAATCATTATCTTTTCAAGTATTTTTATTTCATAAGTTACAACCGTAATCTTTTCCGTTTTTAAATTCTGCAATCTTTTAAATCTAAATTTTCCATTAATGATATATAAATTCTCTTTTCTGACATAGTTCCGTTATTTTTTAAATTCCAAAAATTTAAAGTTGTCACTGCAACAGCAGTAATAGTTCTTGTTGTTTTATCCCAAAAAAGTCGTTTTTCTCTTTTTGTTGCGACAAAATATAAAAAAATAGCAACAATATTTGCTAAGAAAAAGATATTATATAGAAAACAAAACGTTTTAACAATAATAAATAAAGTACACTAGAAAAAGAAAATAGTAAGAAGTAAATATCTACAGAAAGAGAAATGCTCGTATCACAAATTGCGATTAGCGCTTGTGAGAGTATATGTGATAAACATCAAAAAATTATAGCAACTCGATCTTCGGCATATGTTTGTAGATACTCACATAAAAAAAGAAAAAATACTGGTTTCAACTGTTAGGGATGGTACGGATAAGTGAAGTGATTGAGCGAAAAATAAATGGAATGAAGGAAATCTTTTTTTTTTCGAGAGTATAATGTCGTTGACTTATATCACAAAAATACATCGACGAAAAATAGAGTTAATAAAAGATTCATAAATATAAACTGTTTGAAAAAAGCAAAGGTGATAGAGAAAAACAAGTTGTGTATAATGATAATAACTTGACTGACTTAATCGACCACTGCTCTTCAATACAACGAACGAACGAACGAACGAACGAACGAGCAAAAGAAAAGAAAGGTATTGAAGGTATTAGACTAGAGTAAAACCAAGATGATGTTGGATAGCTTCAGTCAACTTGTCTTTTAATGTATCTTTGGACGAATATGATGGTAAATCAAGTATATTAAAACATGTGTGTGCTACCGGAAGATGTTGATCATCTTGATGACTTCGTTGAATAACCATGGGCTATAATAGAAAAAATTTGAAATAATTAACGATCACAAACAAATTGTCTATAGACTTGTCTAGTTAACTCTGCTTACCGAGTAAAAATTCGCTACGTACTTCTTCCTTTTTGTATATTGTTTCTTTTATAATATGTGAACAGCAAGATGCTCAAAACTCTCAGATTAAAGAGAAAAGTATGCTGAAGATTTTAAGATGCACACACATTCGACACAATTTTTCATCCAGAAAAATACGTGATAGACTTTCACTTCGATAGCAGAGTGAACTGAACAAACTAATTATTTGACTTACCTGACTCCAACCGAAAATAGGCACACGCGTGGATCCCGTTAAAAATTCTAAAAGTATAAAAACATATAAACAAAACTATTCTTGATGTTGTTCCCATAATTCACTATATAATACTTACGTAAAAATTTTTTTTTATCCTCCGTTGTCATCTTATGAAATACTTCCCAAAACCATTTGATAATTTGATGATTCGCATGATATTCTCCTTTGTATTCTGTTTTATTTTGAAACTAAAAATGAAGATAAAAATTAAAATTATAAAATTCAAGTTCTTCTTAGATACCTACATCATTCCAATCATAATTTGTATTACCAATAACAAACGACATTAATTCATCTGGATAAAATAATTCAAGAGGTTTTGATGAACAAACACGACGAAATCCTTCATTAAATGCACGAAATTGTGTATCAACTGATTTATTAAATATATAATCAATATATAAATCGACAAATTCTTGTTTATTCAATTGATTTACCATTATATTTGATCCATTTGGTTTTAATTCAATATGTCGTCTTTCACCAAATGATTCACGTACAATTTCAAATGTAAAACAAAATGTTTCTTCAATATCATTTTCTTTATATAATAATAATTGTTGTAATGAACGATAAATAATTGGTGATAATGTTTTAAGATCATCAATATCAATTTTTCCTTTATTTAATAATTTTTTATATAATACTAATGGAAATGGTAAATCAATAATAATTAAATTATAGATAGCTAAACCACATAATGTTCCAATTAATCGATACATATGATCTTCTTCTAATCCATATTCACTAAACCATATAGTATGTGTTTCTTCATAATATGTAAACATTCCATATTTTGGATCAAGTATCTCTTTTGTTAATAGAAGAAAAAATTCCTAAATACAACTACAAATATTATATAATAAATAATTTAAAGATATAAATTTAAATTTACTTTTTTAACTCCACCTAAAATAGAATAAATCATATTAATGACCATAAAAAGCAAAATGAATTTAAGTAAAACTAAAATACCTGCATCTAATCCTTCTTCATTTATAAAATAGACTTGAAGAGGTTTTTTAAAATCTTCTTCTTTATATTTATCTAATTGATCAATTGTATTTTGAACAATAGAATTTCGATTAATATGAAGTGTTAATAATGGATTTACAGGATCAATTCTTGCCGAGAATAAACTTTGAAAATTATGTTGAAAAGCTTGTCGAATTGCATCCTAAACAAATAATAATAATAATAATAATAATAATAATTAATATTAAATCAAATAACAATACATTTTACCTGCATCGATAGTTGAGCTGCATATTGTAATAAAATTGTTTTTGCACGAAAATCAAATAAAAATGGATATTCACAAAATGAAAATACTCCTTTTTCCTTAAAAATTCAATATTTATGATAAAACTATATTATTTAATTTCTAAATGACTTCTTTCCACAATACTTACTTGAAATAGATGACGTTGTTGCCATATAATATAATGGTTCTTAATATCAATTTTATCATTCAATTCTTTTATATAGAAAAAATCATGACTGACTAGTTCCGGTTTGGCCATAACACAACTGACCTAAAATAACTGTCATTAAAAGTGAAAATAGGACTGATTATGAAATCTTACATTATGTATTTTTTTCAATAAATCTAAAATTCCTCTCAATAATAGTTGATATTGTGTTTGTGCAGCTGACATATGACCGACGTTAATACCAATAATTTTCACAACAAGAGGTTTATACAACTAGAAACAAAATAAATTCAATAAAAAAACATCAATGAAAATGGTATATCATATTACTTCAAGAATTCGTTCGACATAGACTCGACCAATATGTTGTATCCAATAATCTAAAATAATTAGTCTCTATAAAGTACGTGAAGAATAATATTCATTAATAATATTATAATATTCAAACATACCTAACACTTTTCCATCCGCTCGTTCTTTTAATCTTGTTAGTGCTAGAGCAAATGGACAAGTGACTGTTTCTAATGATTCATCATTCTCAAATATATGACAAAATGGTAAAACTAAATAAACACGTAATGCTTCGAAACATGGAGCTGTTTCAGGTAACGTGATGATAATACTTTGAATATGTTCCAATAACTAAAAGAAAAATGAAGTCATTAAGTTCTAACAAAAATTTTCTTGATTTAAAAAAAAAGAAAACCTACCAAATCCTGAATAGTTTGATCACATGTTCTCAATTTTTCCATAACGGCAATAACACTATCAATATCGATTCCTGGATTATTTGAACTTGTTCGATAATGTATATCAGGTGAAGCAAGAAATGAGCCATTAATACATGCTTCTGTCGAAAACAAACGCGACATTTTTCTAAAATAAACAGAAATGTGCTCAATATGGTGAATTTCCACATGAAAGTAAACAAAATTGTTTGCTTATTCTAAAATTCATATAGCAAACAATACATAGTTTTATACATACTTTTTAGCATCTGTTAGACCAACAGGAGATTTTTCGACATGACACAGTGATTTCGCAAATTCAAGTGTTAATTCAAGTATTGGACGGTGTAAACTGTACAAACGATAATCAGCAGGACGTTGTGACTATTTGAAACAAGAGCGAAAAAATTAAAGAGAAAAAAAAATTGTTAATTTTTATTTTTGCATACTTTATGCGAAATTCTAATGAATGTTTGATGACCTCCAGCTGTAATAAAAACCACTTGCACATTTTGTTGCTATAAAAGAAATTAAATCATTGGTTACGAAAACAGGTCCATTTAAAAAGGTTACTCAACAAAGTGACACTATTTCAAGAGAGAGAAGTACTACAGAACAAATGTACCCATTCCGAAATACATCTATTCTAGAAATGCTATTTCGATTTTTAGAAGCTGAGATTTTAGTTTAGTTTTCAGATAGTAATAGGAGTTGCAAGGAGTACTGCAAACGAAAGCAAACATCTCATTTTAACGCAGTGCACGTATTTTCTTCTTTCTACATGTATATTCAATACACGCATGATCGAGTGTGGGTTGACAATTAATACAAGAAATAAAGCGATTTCAACAATCATTATTTTAAAACTTTTATTTAAAACAGGAGCTTTCGATTACAACTGTAATCATCGTACGATAGAAAAATCGAATAGGATATTTTCTTTCGATTACAGTTGTAATCGAAAGCTCCTGTTTTAAATAAAAGTTTTAAAATAATGATTGTTAAACTCATACAATTAATCTTTTCCTTTATGAAATTATTATCAACAAATAATGTGGAAATAAAGCGATATACACTGTAAAAAAAAAGTATTTTAAAAAACGTTTAAAGGATATAACCATTTGAAACATATCATAACTGTTTGTCATAACCGTTTTTGAAACATGGTTTAACCGTTTTGTAAAATACGTTTGACGATTTTTGTCAACCGTGAAAAACGGTTAGTAATTGAATTACGTTTATTCGTTTTTCACGGCTAAATGTATTTAGTTATTGCTATAAAAACTCTCTGGATATTTTAAAAACGGTCTAAACGTTTTCTCGAAACACTTTTCAAGGATTTTTCTTTCATGGAAAATGTTGAAACGGTTATGATATGGTCCAAATGGTTATATCCGTTAACCGTTTTTTAAAATACTTTCAAGCGTTTTTATAGTTCTATATAATTTCATTCTCGAAAAGCTTATTTGACAAACTGTTTCTTCATCTCACACCGATCGTCTAGTATAGTAAAACGAAACTGATGCCAAAAATCAGTTCAAACGCTTTCCGTGTTAAATCTAAAGCACAACATACAAAAGAAGAAGAAAAGGAATGTTAACATATCGTGCTTGATCAACTTTAATTCGAAATAGTAGTGTTAAAAAGAGTCTGCCTATAGAATAGTTTCAAAGAAAAAACGCATTTCTAACTTCGGTTTTTTCAACTAGAAGAAAAAACCTTCTCCGTATTATGAAATACGCTTTCTATTTGAGAAAACTAAAGTAAATATTAGATGGTTTTCGGAAAATTGAAAAAAATCTTCTGATAATTCAAAAACTCTACACAGTATTTTATAAAACTCAAATCGTTTTTTCATTTCCACGAAAACCTTACCCTGTAAACGCGAAAGCATTAAACGGCTTGGGTTTAATATTTATTCTGAGAAATGGCTTTTAAAAAACCTTTTTAGGTTTCGTTCGGAAAATGAGAAACTTTTTAAGACTTTATTATTTTAAGAAATACGTTTTGGTTTTTTTATTCTGTCTCGAAAACAGTTACGGAACGTATTGTAAGAAACTCAAAGGTTTTATCAACAATTAAAAACCATTTTTTCGTTTTTTCAGAATGGAATCAAAACGTTTAAACGTTTTTTGTCGAATAAAAAACCTTTTTGGGTTTTTTTTTAAATATTTTTTTTAGAGTGTAGGAGGTGCAAGGAGTACTGCAAACGAAAGTAAACATCTCATTTTAACGCAGTGCACGTTTTTTCTTCTTTCTACATGTATGTTCAATATACGCATGGTCGAGTGTGGATTGACAATCAATACAAGAAATAAAGCGATATATACACTTGCATATAGTAACAAATTCCTTTTTCTGCTATTCTGATTCAATATAATGCTTCTTTGGTTATAATCCGTACATTTTTGTAGCTTACTACTCTCTCTCGTTTTTAAAATGTTCTCATCAATTAAACACAATTAAACGGTAAAAAAGAATAGAACATCTCATTTTAAACGATGTGTTGAAATTGAAAGTTACACATTTTTATAATTTTTCAGAAAATAAAATCAGTTCGATAGCAAAAGAAATATTAGTGGTTTAGGGTTATGATACGGCACTTAGTCTAGCGTGAAGTAATGATGATATTTAACGACCACAAAAAATAAACTGTCTTCTGAAAGACTGTTACGTGTACAAAGAAAATATTGTTTAGACATCGTTTCTTTTACTAACGACAAATCTCACCTCTTTTCTTCAACATACGGAAATAGCGAATAAATAAAATAAATTCTGGTCCTTCTTTTACTCTTTATTCCTACAAACCTGCTGTTGTCCACTACGATCAGAAGAATGTGACATTTGACGTTGCAACTAGAAATTAAAAATGACTTCATGATATTCTTGTTTATATTGAAACTTGTTTTCTCATACCTGGCCAATTGCCCGATAGCTCACAAATGGATACTGTAATTTTGTTGGGATAGCAACGTAAGATGTTAGCTGTGTATCAGGTCTACCAGCACACGCTAATCCAAATACTAATATCTGACCAACACTGGGAACAAAAACTACAGTGTGACTTCTCCCACATGCAACCTGCGTTACTTCTGAGCCCATTAATTCACTAATTTTTTTCGGTAACAATTCGTCCATTACTGAATTATGGCCGAGTTGTCCATGACTGCCCGAACCAAAACTAAATACACCTCCATCCTAAAGAAAATAAAACTTATGTAAATAGTTCGATGCATGGATGATTGAAGAATACAAAACATACGTACTGCTGTTATCACAACGGTATGCTTCTCCCCGCATGATGCGTATGTCACTTTTTGATTTTGTACGGCTTTCACATTGCTTGGCCAAATACGAGATTCCGTATCGCCAACGCCAAGTTGGCCCGATGAATTCAGTCCACACGTGAAAACGGTTCCGCTTTTTGATATGATAACTGAATGATTTGCTCCACAAGCTATGTAACAGATTGGAGAACCACGTAGACATAACAACGGACAAGCACACACACAATCATCACTATTTCCCAGACCCAATTGTCCGGCACTATTCACGCCAAATGAATATACTGTTCCATCTAGCAAAACAAAAATATGTTGAAAATTTTTATGAAATAAAAATAAATCATTTACCGTCGGTTAGTGTCAGTGCATGTGAGTAACCGGTTGCAATTTGAATCATCCGTTTATCTTCAAATCCACTAACATATCTGCAAGGAGTTGAAACATATTATAGAAAATTTAAATTCTTTTATTTCAATTATTCTTACTGTGGTTTTGGGTAGAAAAATCCATCGTCACTTCCGATTTTTCCATTAATCGAACCCCAACATACAATTCTTCCAGTGATCGTTAAGCATAACGAAAAATGTTGACCACAAGCGACTTGTACACCTTCTGCATCATTCGGTAATATCACACATTCTGTAATCGAAAGATTACTTGTGGATCAAATATTTTACTTGTAAAAATAGCGTACCTGGTACAGTAGTACGTCCTTCACGTCCCAGTTGTGAATAATCATTATTTCCGCAAGAGAAAACCCTTCCATTATCCATCAAAAAACAAGTATGTGTAAGTGTACACGCTAATTGTATACACACTTTATCATCGAAAAATGTATTCCTTTGTGGTGTTGCTATAAATCCGCTCGAAGTGGGTCCAAGCCCCAATTGGCCATGGCTATCCACGCCGTAACACAGCATGAAAATAATATAGTGCTGTTAAATAATCTAAAAACCAAAGCAAGTAAAGAATAAAAACCACTGACAGAAAGTATCATCTTTCTGCCGTAAACAAGGGAACTAAGATAACAGACTGATTAAACAAAGCCTGAATTTAAAATAGACTAGCTGTGCTCGTCTCAGATAATCGATGTATATGCAATCTCATCCTGCTCTTGACAAACTTTAAATAACATCGCATTTTTCGAATAACATCATCAATCAAATATCTGTCTGCTCTTATAACATAAAGAATTGATTACAGGCAAATCTCATCTCGTTTAATCTCGATCTTCGATTCGACCGCAAATTCAAAACAAATATTGTCATATTTAGTTGTTTAGGATTCGAGGAGGAAATAGAAAGTTCAAATCACAGAAATTGAGGTAAGCCAAGGGTAAATTTTCCTTTTCATCACGTTAATATCATTATTAGAGATCCGGAAGTTGCATGTGATGTGATAAACACGCACGAAAAACGCCAATAAATCACAAACACAATGTTCAAAACTCTAGATTTTTTTTCTACTTGAAAACGTCAACTTCGAACTCCTACATAATCATCATCGTGATAGAAAAATCAAATGAATTCTAGAAACAGACGTACATCCAGCAAAAAATAAGTTATTGGCCTCTATCTTTTTATTGGTTCCGACCATTTCTACTGTTCAAGCTCCTTTTTGAATGTTTTGCTTATACGTCTTTGTAGTTGTAAGATAAGTCTTTGAGAATTTTTTCTGATGCAGCTGTCAACGCCTATCAAGCTGAAATTGCGTTGACAGTCTCGAGTATTGTTGGAAAAAAAGCGGACACTTATCTTGACTGCATTTAGTAGAATATATGCGGGTTTCAGTTAACGATGCGAATAAAAGAGCAAGAGTGCAAAATTAAGTATAATAAGAATGGTATAACTAAAATTCAATAGTAGACAGCATGGCAGTTTAATGGTTAAAATATGCTTATCGCAAGAGGCTAGTGTCAACATAAAATTACGTTGTTCAACGCTCAACATTTGCACCTAGATCTAAGCCAGTTTACACAGCGTTATCATCAAAGACCAGAAGACTAACGAGGGAACTGTTCTAACTGGTTTCTCTCTTTCGACTCCATCTTTTGGCTAAATCCCTCAGTGTTATTTTGTTGTTTATTATTGCTTGTTTTAGAAATTTAATTAAGGGAAGTAACTATTGAATCATGTGAACTCAAGATTATTATAAAATTTTGAATATGTGCCTGTTATGTGTGACATCACGTTTTTCTAGATTATACTTTATTTGTTTTTTGCTTGAATCCAGCGTTTTCGATTAGATAGGTGAAGGTGGGGGAATTCCCTCATCTCGTTTGAAATGAATTACTCGCTTGAGAAAAAAATTTGCTCAGTCAGAAAAGTTGACGTTTTTTGTTTTTTAGGTTATCAGCTAAATTTTTTCAAGTTGCTCAATAAAACTTACCCACCTTGTCAAACTTCTATCAAAAAACGCTGCTTGAATCAACTGTCATTTATTCCTTTGAATTGTATCGCGCCGTTGTGAGTCATCTTTTCTTACAAGGAAACTGTTCCAACTGGCTCCTCGTTTTCGACTCCATCTTTTGACTATAAGTAGACCTTGATGAGACTAAGAAAACCCTCGTTTGTGCTGATATGATCGACATTTCGTTACAAAACAAACCGTTTTTTCACTTTTTGAAAATTTTTTCTCTGTCACCCTAATGACTTAAGCGGTGAAATTTTTCATACAGCTAACCTCAGGTGGTCTACTTGCTCCAAATATTTCAAACAAATAGCTTGTCTAGAACTGAAGATATCGAGTTTTCAATTACTAGGGAATAGAGCCCTGCAGGTTACAACTTTTTCATAACCTATAACCTGTCCTGTAAACACTTTAACAACCTGTAACCTTTCATAATCTTATACCTCGTAACCTGGGGCCTGTTTCTTAAAAAAACTTAAGTAGAAAATCTTACTTAAGTCAAAAAAGACAAAGACTTTTTTGGACTTAAGTTTGACTTAAGTCAGATTTTCTACTTAAGTTTTTTTAAGAAACAGGC